AAGGATTCTATGATTCTAAGACAGTAACTGGCTGCTGAGCATTTCATTATGCCCTTTCTCTGACAGGTAGAATGAGGATGAAGATAGGCTGTAGCAGAATGACATCATATTATCACTGGACTCCAACCCTGACTCATAGTGCCAATTCCTCTGAGCTTTGCAGAACTTGTGATCAAGGTTGAATTTTAGACACAGGATCTGTGGCAGGTATGATCCAAATATGCAAGTTGAAAAGGGCAAAATACAATAATTTTTTTTGTTAGTTTCCTACACCACAGAATTTCTACAAAGAACGAATAATTTTGTGTTTCTTGAAATGGGAGCAAACTGTCACATCTGTGAAAACATGTCTTCTGCCTTAAAATGGCCAGGCCCTCCACTTACCTATATAAGCTGAAAACTGTATTGCCGTTGTGCATCAGGTACACGTACACTTCCTCAACATCTTCATGTTTCATCATATTGAAGGTAAAGAAATAGACTCCTGAGAAGATTACCAAATACAACATGTTTGCTTCATAGAGGGAGACAGACAATCATGCTACAGACTCGCACTTCTTGTTTAGAAAACTTAGCATCTAAGGCCAAAATTACCTTCCTATTGTCAGTGGGTGTTTTGCTTCTGCTTATAGAGTGCCAAAATCTGATTCATTTTTATTGTGTATATGGCGGCGGGTCAGCCGTATCCCATCCCAGAGAAATTACTGTCTCAGGACCACTTATCCCTTCCTTCTCTGAAAGGGAAATTTCCCAGAGGAGAGGTGACTCCTCTCTCACCTGTTTTTCCTTACTTTCTTGCACCTGCCCTTTTCCAAAAGGTCAGCTGCCAGACCACCCAGGCCTCAGCCTTAGAAGCTGTCAGACAGACAGCGTGTCACCCAGGTCAAGCAAGGGATGAGTGGTTTTAGCAGCACCCACTGCTGTTCACCTGTCCATACCACATCCTGAAGAGTGCAGACATAGCCACTGCTTTCTCTGGTTGCTCAACACACCCTTTCCATCACCCTTTTTCTTTTTAGCTCTTTCTCTGTCTGAAAGGTGCCAACCGTGTTGTCTGTGTATTCATGTTATGTTGCATGAGCTCTACAAGGCTCCCCCAGGTAAGAAGTCAAGCTCCTGGTTCCTGAATAGTGAGTCTGTAGCATTGACACTGCAGTGGGATTTTAGAGTTTATATCAAAGTCATTAAGTCATTGTGGGTCAAAGTTTATTGACATCCACATATACATTAATGTCAAAACTAAGCAGCTGTGAGGATACACACCCCTAACAGTCAGTAAGATGTGGTACAGCAAGTTTGGAGAGCCTGGCTTTTATTTAATCTAATGTAATTTCCCATAGCTGTGAGTAAATTAATGGCAGGTTGAGAAAGACCCAGTGAAGGAAGGTTGTTTCAGGCTTTGCTTAGACATGTTTTTAATTTTGGCCTTGAATCCCCTAACTCCTATTGTTTTTTCTACATCACAGCTGCTTAAGATGGGGGATTGATGCATCTAAAAAATAACTCAGGTCAAACTGTAATGCCTCATCTTCGGCCACACTTCTGCTGCAGGCCAGCTTAAACTGAACTGGCATAAGGGAAAGTGAGGATGAAGGCAGAGACTGGGGGCAGGAGGTGGAGGAGGCAACTGTGATGCTGCTGCTGCTTCTGCAACATCAAGGCCGTGGTTATCTCATCACAATGGCTGAAGGGCTAATGGTCACCAAAGCAGATGATCTTGTTCCCGCCCCGGCTCTGGCCATGCCCCTTCCTCCTGTCTTTGTGCCAGCACTAGTCTCACTGAATGGCAAGCCCTTTCTTGTCTTGCTCAGTTTCCAATTTCATTTTTCCTGAGAGCATGTAGCAAGAGCTGTGCAGAGTGAGTCTCATCAATGCCTTGTGCAAAGGCAGTTAAAGAGTTTCTCATCATTATTGACAATGCTTCTCCCTATACCTCCCAGAACTGCATTAGTTTGTTTTGCAAACACTCACCATTCACTGGAGCACCAAATCTCCCAGTCATGACATCAAAAAAATTACCAACGTTGGTTTCAACACTGCTGAAGATGATCCCACTGTTCTGGTTGCTGAAGTGAGTAGCCATGGAAGCCATGAATGCAACCTGAAAATATGCAGTTCTTATTCAGGCAGTCATTTATGCAATGCATATGTGTAGAGTAATCAGCTACAGAATTTTTTCCTGTATTTGCAGACTGTTTATTTTCCTGACAGAGATGTTCTTCTGGGGCCTGCTCCAGGGCCATTAAACTTCAGTACAAAACTCCCATTGAATGAAACTGGAAGAGAACTAGGCTTCCTACATTCAATTGGACTATTCATGACTGTAAAATAAAGTGTATGGGCAAGTGTTTGTAGGTCAAGACCTTTGTTTGGGATTTTATTTACTTTTAAGTCTCTTTAGAATGCTGCGACAGAAGACTGCCATTGAAATGGAAGCTGTATGCAGTAAAAGTGATGTAGTTACTTTTCATATATTTCCCAATGCATTTAGATTCCATACGGTTTTTAATGTGTGAAATAAGTAATGCTCAGTAAAATCTACACACCTTAGTGTTTCTTGCTAATTAACTTCAAAGATACATTAACCATTTTTATTAGATGTTCTCTGGAAGTGCAGTTGCTGTGACTCAGTATTCAGTGCTTTTCCTATCTTACCAGTCACCCCATACCCTCAGTCATGACAACAGAGGGTGGTGGAGACCGAAAAAGAAAACTGACAAAGTAAAAGCTGTGCTTCAACTTCAAGTTACACTTCTTGCACTGAGAAAATGTTTCATAGAAAGCAATGCAAACCTTCCCACACTGGACAATTCAAATTATCCTCAGTAAGATACCATGTAACGACCTTGACAACTTGCTTGGGCCAGGAAGAGAGTTATCTCTTCTGTGAGTCTATGTTCCTCCTATCTGACTGTCAGTATACAGGGTACAGGCAGAACTGCTGCATCTGGATGCCAGAAGGCTGCATAGTGACTTGGTATTTTATCTCTCTTTCTTAACTTCTTAGATGAGAAGTATTCAATTACAGTTGCTACTGCCCCTCACAAAAATGACATTGTTCATGAGATTCCAGCTATACTGGTATTAAACAAACAAAAAAAAATCAACACCCTGAAATTCTTTTTATTTCAGATCCAAATGAGAACAAAACCAAAGCAGGCAAAACCAAATTCAAGTCTGGATCCAACAATGGAAATCATTAGCCATCTGGTCAGAAATTTAAGGAGCTCCAGATGTGAGCTGAAAGCTTGGGCTGATTTTCTTTATCCCTGCATGAATGCATTTTCTATGACGGCAAGTTGTTAACTTCTTGCTTCTCAGCCAGGATCACATCAAAGTTCATCATTTGTTAAAGGAAAGCAGCTGCAATGGCAGCTTGATGGAATTTATTGTGTTTTGTCTGGATCCCCTTTCACATTGTCTTTGACCCCAAGCTACTTTTCTTGGGCTGATCAGAGGAGTTGAAAAAGGAGTTCTTTCTCCCTAGGCCTCATTCTGAAGTAGCAGACCAACCAGGACATGTCAAGTCTTTCAAAATAATACAGTACTTAAGACAGTATTGTATTCAAAGGTGTTTTCTTGTCTGCCTATCTCAGCTTTAAAATTCTTAAGCATTATGTTAACAAGAAATTATATGCTATACCATGTAAAAAAGTTCTTAAAATATCTGTTAAAAAAAAGTGATGGAATTTTATTTGGAAATAGGTGTTGAAATATGAGCATTTGTTATTAAACTTCTTGTATCATTCAGTTTTTAATTAAATTGATACCAGTATATGTAAGAAAAAAAAAATGCTGAGAGCTCGTTTTAAAATTGCAACAGGGTATGTGTTGAATGTAATTACAACAAATATGATTTTTACCATGTTTAGCTATAATATTAATTCTAGATAATTCTTCAATAATACTTATGCATTTCTGCTTTATTACAAAAGTCTAGTAATTTCGGAAACTATTTCAATTGTGAAATTTATTCTGTGCAGTTATCCAATCTTCATGCAACCTAGAGTGAAGAATTAAAACATGCACAATGCCACAGAGCTTCCATTTTCCCTGTAGCCAGAAGTGGGACTTCTTTGTGTGCATAGAACGTTTGCTACATCCCATTTACCTCTTCTGTGATGAGATTGATTTGGGGGTATGAATCAGATCAAGAATAAGACACCTCCATTAAAGTGTGTTGGTGCGAGTGAGGATGTAAACTCCCTTGCAGTTTCTGGAGATCTGTATACTCTGTGGTGTCCAAAGTCCCATTTGCTCAAAAGCAGCCGTGACTGTCAGATTAACTTGAGTTGCTCTTCTAGATCCTCAGTAATTACAATGGGAGTTTAGATGCTTTCCCTTATATGTAGGCTCTTTGGAGCTGAATATGACTGCAATCACTTGCCCACACAAATGTACCTAATGCCATCTGCAATGCTTCAGGATTCCTCCATGTGAGGCTGGCTGACCTGACCTACAGAATCCCCTTTCACAGTGGCAGCTGTGGATCTACAGAAGTCCTTTACACAAATGGCAACTGGAGACCAGGAGGGATACACCTCAAAGGCTTGCTCTGCATATAAATCATGCCTTTAGCACTTTAGCTGCACTGCTTATATACTGCTTATACTGCAGTATAGAGTGTGGACAACTCTTTTAAATCCTCTTTGCAACTGCAACCAAAGGTCTTAGTTACACAAGTCCAAATTGCTTTTGGTTGCCTGAATAATAGGGAGGACTACACCATGTCTCCACTGTACTGCAGGTGTGTTTATATATATATACATATATACAAACACATATAGGCTCTCGCCATCTGCCACATTTCTGGGACATGAAGAAACTCTGTTGCAAAAGCTATGTGACTGCGCCAACGCAGTGTTGAGCCCAGACAAGTATATCCTCTCTCCCAGCAGAGCTTATCAGCTCAGGCTTGAATCCAGGTTTTAATGCTCATCTGGCTCTTGGGTAGTTGATTCATAGGCAGATCCTACATGCTTCTCAATGTACTGGGGGTAGCTAGACATACAAAACCACAGATAGCTAATGAGGCATGTTTTTCAGCACCAGAGTACTTCTGTCTGTTAAGTTTCTTCCTGCCCATTTCTCAGCTGTATTCTTGCTCTAAAGAAAGGCTAAGCCCTGATATCTTTCTTTCCCAGGAAAATCTGTCAGGTCACTTTTGTCAGTCATGACAAGGGCTATACATTTTTCTTGTTGTATTAATGAAAAGTAATACATTATCAATGTATTAATAATATATTAATGGATAATTAATACAGGAATTTTTGCTTCTTTAGAGTCTTAGAGTAGTTAGATGCTGGTTTTCAAAGAAAAACATAACCTGAGAACTACTGCAGCCAACACAAGCCAGAGGTTTTGTACCTGTAGCTCTGGGGGAATCCCAGGGTAACCCTTCTCGCCTTTGGGTCCATGATGGCCACGCTCACCCCTTGGTCCCATATCTCCTTTGTCTCCTTTCTCACCTTTGGCTCCTTCCTGGCCAGTTGCTCCATTATTTCCATTGTTCCCATGATTTCCTTAAAGGAAACAGAGCATTCTGTTTGACTTAAATAATTTCATACAATATATTTTAACAGATAACAGTGACAGGGTCATGTTCAACTAGGTTGCAACACATAGACTTTTCAGTACCATAAAACCCAGCTGAGTTGCAGTGCTTAAGCAACAGCTGTGCAGTTAAGTAGAAGGTGAAGATTTTGGTGAGCAAACTTCCAGAAGGACATAGTCTGGTTGTTAAAAGTTAACTCTCATGCTGTCTTGATGTCATTGTATAAACTGCCAGAGTCTCAATGCATTGTGTTTAGCTCGAAGGAGTTGAGTGATTTCATTTTCCTAGACTGAAGGAAAGGCAATTTTTTTATAGTGAAGCTTTTCTTAGATGGCTTCTTATAAAAAGGGTCATTATAAAAATATATTCCTGCATCTGCAGTATTACTTACTTCCTGACGTTTACTGAGGAAATTACTGAACAAATGCCTAAGCACCTGACAAAATTTTAAAGTTGATTAGAATCATTGAGCAATTATTATGCCTACATGAAGCAAAAGCTTGACCTTTCAATTAATTACTATGGGGATTAATTTATATCTTAATTTTTCTAATTCTGCTTGGTTTGAATGTGGATTCTTTACCACTCCACTTGTTCTGATTAGTCACTCTGGTTATGAATTTACAAGAATGGTGTTGTCTGAGATCAAAACTAATGATTAAGTGATTCTTTAGAGGTTTTATACCAAGAAAAAAATTTACTTCAAACAAGGAAGCTAAATGGTAGAAGAAATCAAGCATATATTTGATTTGCTCCAGAAATAATTTACTCTTAAAAATAAAAAGTATGGTTCTTCCTTTAAAGCCAGAGCTACTAGTCTACCAGTTCAGAACAGAAGTATGCAACTGACATTTGATTCAGTCCAGAGAAGAGCAGCTGTTTTTATTCTTCCCCTTAGGGTCACAATGATATCAAATGCCAGAGATGAAGGAAACAGAGAAATTCTGGAGTGCGGAAAGTTGCTGTCAGCCATACAATTGTGGTGTGCTGTGTTGACAAGAATGTACGACAGAGATACATCCTTATATGAGGAAAGGGCAAAGCTGGGTGTGGGCTGTGTCCCAGTATGTCCACTGCAGCCTTGAAAGAGTGAGTCTAGTACCAAATTGTGTCCTGCTATTAAGAAGCCAAAAATGTATTAATATGCCATGCAATATTTCTGCACAAGAGGCCTCATTGTTAAATTTCTCTTGCTTCTGTAATCATCTATGGTATTTTTATAAAGGATTGATGCATGAAAAGCTCACAGTGTGCTAATCCTAAATATGCATATGACCTTATTTTGCCTAATACCCAAAATATGTCAAAGTAACAATTTATTTCAATATTCTATCAACTGAAACTAATTCCTGAAACACTCCATTCACTCAGATTTCACTTCATAACAGTCAGATGTAACTGTTACTGTAAACTATTTCTACCAAAAATCACTACTTTTTTTGGGTTTTTTTTATATGGTTGTCTGTCATGGCTGTTACTGTCAGGACATTTGTGAGAGAGGACGGTTATGAAATTGCATTTTTATTGCAATAACAGAAGATATAAGCTTTTGAAGATGAGGCAAATCTGTCAGTCAGTGCCATGTTCATTTACATTATACATCTGCTTTAGGAACGGTGATTTTCAAATCCCTGAAGGCAGCTGCTGTAAAAAATTTACACCAACATGTAACTGTCTTCTTCGCTTGTCTTGGCTCTTCTTTTTCCATACCAATTACCAGATCAAAGTATATCCTTTTCTTGTGTATCTTGTTCTTCTGTGTGCATTTTTAATGGCAAAATTAATTAATTTTATTACAGAAAACAAGAAGAAAGAAGGAAAATAATTAATTTCTCTGAGAGAATAGAAGCATATGTGTCTCTGTAAAATATTGGCTAGCAGTATCTAGGTGAAAAAAAACTCCTGAATAGCATAGCTGGATATTCAAAGGTGATTGCAATAGTCAACTCCAGGGAAGAAGTTATTCCAACTTCAAAGGAAGCCTCATGCTGCTTGAAGAAGAGAGACCAATTTGCCATAGAAATGTAACCAGATTACTTTCAATTTGAATTTGTGAAAGCTGAATTTTAATAAAAAAATTGGTTTTCACAGCAAAATAGTTTAGAGTCTAATTGAAAAATCACTGTCTCCCCAGAAATTATAGAAAAACTTTTTTCTGAATCTGTCCCCAGAGACTCATGTTTCAACAATTCTTCCCTATTTCATAGAAGAGCCTGTAATTTATCACCTGTAATTAGACTGATCAAAAAATGAATTAAACTTCATCTTTACCTGGCATCCCAGGGGGCCCAGGAGGTCCTGGGGGCCCTTGGTAGAGTCGAACTCCAAAGTCACCACGGCAGCATGAACTACAGTCTGGATTCTGTGGTCCCGTTTGTGGAGGCTAAGTGCACAAAAACAAGGTTTAAATAACTCATTCATGGAGGGCATCAACCATATGCACATAAGTTACACGATCTTTATTGTATATTCTCTGTTTATATATTTGGTAAGTTTTCAAAACACTTCTTATTTGGGCTGAAATCTGACATACTTGGGTTTTCCCAGAATATGTTATTTTTGGAAGATTTAAGAGAATAGCTTGTCAAGTGTTACAGAGCTGTGTGGATACTGAAAAAAAAAAAAAAACACAACAACTTGTCCTGTCAAATAATGATGGGTTTTAAAATTAAATGATATCAAGTAATGAAAGTGAGATGAATATTTCGGTTGGGTTCCTATCTTGCTTTTCACTGATCCCACATTTCAGCTGACCTTTTTTTGATAAATAAGGCTATGTACAGCTAGTGGTAGTGCACAAAGGACTTCATTTGACCTTCAGCAGTGAACTAACTTCCATGAAACATAAAGACAATTGTGTTGGTCTGCACAAAGAAGATGTTAAAAAAGTCTGTGCAGCATATTCCTGTTCATTGCTCCAGACATGCATCTCTACAAGCTATTAAAACTGGGAGAACCTAAAAAAGTGCCAAGTTAAATGACAAAAATTTGAACTGACCACAACACCTGGTGTTAGGGGCATTTGATTATTTGTAGTTGTGAGTGTGTAACCATGAAAACCTGTATATATGCTGAAACTAATATGGTACCATAAATAAACTAATGTTTATTATACACTGCTCAGCCACTGTAATAACAATTTAATAATAATTTTGTTTCAGGGTTTTTCTTTTCCATATTATTGTATTTATACTCATTCAGGCTGGCTGGATTTCATAACTAGGCTCTAGCAATGATTTAACAATCACAAATCTTCCAGAGGATCAGCTGAGTTAGAGGTCCAACTTCTTTCTCAACTTCCTTCTCATTTCTCCCTCTTTATTTATTTCTCCTTGCAATTTTTTGCTAGTATCCTGAGATGCAAATCTGCAGTTCTCAAATTCTGGAGGAGGATAGTTATGCCAATCCAGCTACTACTTTTCTCTGATAAATCTACTATTTGTCTTCCTATTCTTTCCACTTATCTTTATCATCTAAAGATTACTTGCCTAATGCAAACCTATTGATTTACTGGCAGCAAAAAAAAACCCCCCCCAGCCTCTGGTGGGATGTGAACTAGCAAATGAACATACAGATGTCACCTGTACAAGCTTGAGAAGTGTGCTTGGGAAGTGTGTGAACCTTATGAGGTTCAAGAAGGCCAAGTGCAAGGTCTTGCACCCTAATTAGGGCAATTTCTAGTCTTGATACAGGTTGGGGGATGAAGGGATTGAGAGCACCCTGACGGGAGAGGTCTCAGGGGCACTGATGTATGAAAAGCTGGACATGACCTGGCAGTGTGCGCTTGCAGCCCAGAAGGCCAGCCATATCCTGGGCTGCATCAAAGGAGTGTGTCCAGCAGGTCGCAGGAGGTGATCCTGCCCCTCTACTCTGCTCTGGTGAGACCCCACCTGGAGTACTGCATCCAGTTCTGGAGTCCTCAGCACAGGAAAGACATGGACCTCTTGGAATGGGTCCAGAGGAGAGCCACAAAAATGATCAGAGGGATGGAACGTGTCTGCTGTGAGGACAGGCTCAAAGAGTTGGGGTTGTTCAGACTAGAGAAGAGAAGGCTCTGGGGAGACCTTATCCCAACCTTTCAATACTTACAGGGGGCTTATAAGAAAGATGGGCACAATCATTTTAGCAAGGCCTTCTGTGACGGGACAAGTGGTGATAGTGTTAAGCTAAAAGAGGGTAGATTCAGACTAGATATAAGGAAGAAATTTTTTACAGTGTGGGTGGTGAAACACTGGAAGAGGTTGCACAGAAAGTTGGTAGATGGCACCATTTAAGGTCAGGTTGGACAGAGCTCTGAGCAGCCTGATCTAGTTAAAGATGTCCATGTTTATTGCAGAGAGGTTGGACTAGATGACCTCTGAAGGTCCCTTCCAACCCAAAACATTCGATGATTCTGTGTTTTGTATTCCTGCCCTCAAGGTCACCAGCTGGCTTGATCTGAAACATTTAAACTTTCTGCCTGTATTTTGGACAATATCAAGCACACCCACACCCACCCCCCCAGCCCACCGTCTTGGGGGGGCTATGCTTAGGGTTACAGAAAACCCCTTTTAGGCCACCAAAATACTGCAACTCTTCCAATGGGACAGACACATGCTTATGTCAGCTGGAACCACTGTCAGTGGAGCTACCACGGGAACAGAGGCTGGCCTGACAGATCAACAAATATGCTTCATGTGCAAAGAGTTATGGAAATGTTGAGACTTGCCAGTGGGCAGAAGGGCTCCATATTTGTGGGCTTTCGGTCAATAGAATGCTTTTTACCTTCATTCTGGATTAGGTCTATGCTTTATGAAGAAAATTAGTTCTGCCTGTTGGACTGTCAGTTCCTGGACAACCTGTTCGTATCTTTCTTGCTGTTTTATCTCTGTTGTTGCTAAGAACATAACTGACAATGACCAGACAAACGTTTAAAGCTTTCCTAATATGAGAGTAGAAGTAGCCCTGCTTACAGCTCATTTTCAGTCTTTGAAGGGAAGCCAAGTTCAAGAGCACTGGAATTGTGCAAGCATTTTGCTCCACCTGAAATGCTGATGTTGAGTGTGCGCTGAGATTAAAATCTCCAGCTCTTTTTCGATAGTGCTTCGTCTTCGTATTAAATCAGAAGGGGAAAAAATATACAGACACCTGTCAAGAGCAGATAGGTCATTTCAGCTGAGAAATACCTCAAGACTTAGAATTACGGATTGTAGGTAAGGGAAGGCAAGAATCCAGCAAACTGCACAGCATGTGAGACTCTCTCTGTGCATGTATTGTTTGGGGCTTTTACCCAGTGCACTGAAATCCCTAATGACATTGTTAGCTTACCAGCTATGTTATCAAAAAAAAGATAACATGATGATCATACTTGTCGTTACCTCTCAAAAAGCTTAGCAGGTTATTACATGTGAAATGAGGCAAGCCTTGCCAGGCTGGTTGTATGAGAACAGTTCCTTCAAGTTCAAAGTAACTACTTATGCAAGTCATAAAGTACTGTTGAGTCATTATTTTTACTGATCTTTTGACGAGGATGAAAAGAATGTTTACAGTCACCTGCCAAGAGCAATGAATATTCAGGATACTCTTTTAATCTCTAAAAACAGACAATTTCATGAAAAATACATTTAAAAGAAAAACCTATTCTTTAAGTAAAATTACATTCAAACGGGACAAAGAGATTAATTACAACCTACTTGCCAAAGGTGTCCTGTGCAGCCATTTGCACATAAATTGTATCATGCAGTGAATCTGTGGCATTGCTCTCAGAACATGAATATGATTTAGGAGCTTGTGAAATGCATCTGCCACATTGATATCCTAATATAGATAGAAAACTGGAGATATTTCTGAGGCTATTTGCTGAATTTCGTATGATTTGGTATGTAGGAGATAGTTCTAGGCAACAGACAGTCCATAAAATTGGCTTAACTTAAAGTTGTGAACCCAGCCCTTTTTCATTTCCTGGTTAATTTTATGGGTTTCTGTTATATATTGCCTAAGACAATGCAGAAAATTAGTAATGTACATTCACTGTTCTTAGCTCCTGTTCTGTGTGCAAAATAGCATGTCTCTGTGGACATAAAAGGCCCTCTATGCCCCTTATCTATCAAAGAATTAAACAAATCAAAATCGCCAAAATTCTGCGTAAAACACCAGTAAGTTGCAGGGTACATGATGGTTTTCAAAGAGCAACCTGAAAAGGAGGAATGTGTCTGGCATGGATCTCCCCAGTCACTAAGAGTTCTTGTGCTTGAGAAATGCACATTGTGTTTTACATAAGTAACTAGCAGCATGGCAACTAGCCTTGTACCCAATCCAGCAAAGACAAATGCTATTGTCTCTGTTCCACAACAGAGAATGGGACCATTAAAACACTCTAGCAAGAGAGTGAAATTCTCCAGCCAGAGCTAAGATAACCAAGAAAGCAGGGAATTAGGGGCGTAACAGCTTTCAGATAGCTCAAGGGGAAGAGAGATACTTGACATGATTTAAAGCAGTTCTGTGCCACCTTTGTTCCTCCTTTGCCTGGAAATCCCTGGAGTCTGGAGATGGAAAATACCTATTGCGTCAGCCACTCTGTGATGGATTATCCCTGTCATGCATCTCCTAGTGCTCCATTTCATTTCAGTAAGCCAAAAGTTGCATCATTTCCCCAGCAAAGATTGCCTCTTAGAGAGGATCTGGCAGGTAAATGACTGCCATCAGCTGTACTCAGATTCTCCAGCCTCAGTTTTAATGTCACAGCCTCTTCCCCCAGCAGGCAGCTCCAAACATGTTGCATTAAATTCTCTGATGAGAGACGCATGCATCCCAAACACAGTGACACTTTTTATGGGGAGAGTTTGCCCCTAAAATACTTAAAATTTTATATTAAATCCTGCATTGTCTGAAGTTATGTTGAGTTAAACAGAAATCTTCTTTAAGTACCAATAGTACATAGCCTGTAGTATGCAGCTGCAGAATTCTCTCTGCAGTGAAGAAGTACACACACACTATCTGGCTCATTGGACTATAAACCTGATGGTTTACATTTTTTATATACTGCAAGTGCAATTTAACATACCTACAGTTAAACATCTATTTTGCTGAGTGTGCTGGGAGAACATTAAAAAAAAAGACATATGAAATGCAAAGCACTGAAACATTTCAATACAGGGAATATAGTGAAATATTAAACTTATTTCCATACTTGGATATGTTTCAGTTCCTGAAAGCCTACTACAGAATTGATAGAAAAATCTCTTCTCTGCTTATGATGAAGTAGTTTGTTATTCGAGACTTGTCTGCATGTGCATGATTTTTGGAATTCAGAATATCATAGTTTGATCTGAAAGAACTTAAAGAACAAAATACAAGATAAACTATAAAAGACTCAACCATCTGTATCAGCAGTAGGAACAACATATTCATGTTCTTGTTTCTAAAAAAATCAATCAATGAAAACATCATTTGAGTGGAATTTTGTTTTGCTTACTGATAGAAAAAGTTTCATCTTCTGCCTTTCAAATTTTTATTTTTAAATTTCGACAGCAATATTTTATGTATAATCAAATTATGCCATTTTCCCTTTTTTATGAGCTAATGACTGTAGCAACTAAAATGCCATGTAAAAGGCATAGATATTGCCAGTTTAAAACACAGATATTATAGATGATTTAGTCTTTTTTCCTCTGAAACTGTCACAGATATATATCTCATTAAACCTACTCCTTATATTAGTATCTATTTTTTAAGCTATTCCTTAGAATAAAATTTTTGAACACTCACAACTTCATTATGTTTGTCTCAAGCTCAAAAAAATATACTTTATATATGTAATTTTCAACTTAAGTTATCCTGTGTTAAATTAAACTTCCCACATACCTCTATAAATTCTGTAACTTTCCTTCACACCCAAATGAGTTAAAAGAATCTAAAACTTTAATATATTAAATAAGTAATAACTTGAAAAATTGAGATACTATATATCAGAATATATGATTGCACACCGTCACAGTTTCAGCAAGATGAAGGACCACTGTCTATGCTGAAATCAGTGTCCCCCGCCACTACAGTTGTACCAGCTCATTAAAAGATCCTACAAAGCAACCCAGCAGGTTACAGACCAATACACAGCTTTAATAAAAGTAATTTCATAGACATATCACTAATAATCTTAGCAACAAAAACAAAATATCTCATTAGCTTTAAAGATATCTTTAGAAGATTAATTAAGAGTACCTGGACTCTATCTGAGGTAGTCAGTTCTATATCATCTACCTCTGGTCTCAGGACTTTTTGGTCTGTAGAAGTGCTATTATCAACAGTCCACTCTATAAGTTGACTCCGAGGTTTCAATATTTCCCTGCTTCTGGAACCTTTATGGCCAGTCTGGTGGTGACTTTGCAATACTTTGGCCACTGGTTTATAAGATCTTCTGCTCACCTCCATGTATTCATCATGACACAGGCAAAATGGAAGAAAAAATAAAGCCAGTAGATGCCAACTGATGAAATCCTTCTCTGCCATGTCACTCAAAATAATTTTTCAGGAGTCCAGCAAATGTCCTTGCAGAAGGAGAACCTCTTTGCTGCACCAGGAGCTTTGTGGTCCTTTCAGCTTTTCCACTAGTAAGCCTGGCACTGAGACCAGTACCAGGTTTTATACGGTTGTGTGCAATAAATAAAACTGAAAATGCCAAGGTGACAGGAAGCTTCATCCAAAATCAGTCATGCTTCTTTAAACAAACCAAGCATTATTCACCACTTCACTACCACAAGGAAAATTGATTTGTATGCTGGAAATGACCACAGCATTTAACGGACTCCCGAGGTTCCTATTTGAGGGCATTAAAAAATGTAGCACCTTTTCTTTGGCATGTTTTTGTTTAAGTGTGAAAAAATGTGGATGGAAATGGAGAACATGTGGCTAATGGTTTATGCTTCTTGATTAGACATGGAAAGGCTGTGAATTCACACTATTAAATGTCTTTTGGACACAGTCACCTTCCTTATTTGCCAGGAAATTCACACACACAACTGCGTCAGCCCAGTCTGAAAAATCCTTCCAAGAGCAATTAGGAAACAAAAGCACAAGAGGAGCTTTCGCATATGATCCTGACCCAATGACTGTTTCTAACTATGCTTTTCATTCACTAAAAGAAAAATATTGAATTTCTGTCATTTGGCCAACAGTGGAAGGAGACTGGGTAAGTAGCTCTGAAAAACTGGGTTGAATTCAGATTCACAGAGCCCCATTTCTCAGCATTAGTTCAACCTACTCAGCCAGGCGATATTTTTTCCCTTGAGTTCCCAGTGTTTTCCTAAATGCAGCTGCCAAACCAAGTTTTATGTCTTCCCTGCCAAGTAAATATAAACTTACCAGCAGCTTATTTCAGACTAAAAGAATCAAATTATATATCTATAATAATATCCTTATTATAGTTTTTGAACCACCCACTGGTATCCTCCAGAAAGCTACAACTGCAGAATGCAGTTCTGCAAATGCACACACATCCACACACACACACACCCTTCCCAAGAGCAAGTAACTCCTTGGCTTGGGAGAAATACTTCACCAGTACATGGCTACAACAACATCACTTGTAGTATCAGTCCCAGAGAATGATCCCTGGCCCCACAATGCAAAGGACTGGCTCATACTCAAGTTGTTCAAAGCTGATCACCCTGCTTAGTGTTTGGCCAGGGCTCTTCTGTGACCTCTAGTTTGACCCACCTGGGGTTTTTTTGTTTTATTTTTTTCTTCCTATTCAGTTGCATGGTGAAACGTGTGGATTGTGGTGCAGTGTGCTGCAGTGGATGTTTTTAGAGCAGGAGGCTGAGGTTGTATGTGCAAGGATGGGATGTGAGGGAACTGGGATCACCAGGGGCCTGCGGGGATGCTGATGAAGGTTTCATGCATCCAGAAGGTAGTCTCAGAAGCCAATGGTCCACAAATATCATCCAGGTTTAATTTTGAGGGGGAAATAGTGTGCCTCAAAAGACATCCTGGGAAACAAACCAGGATGTGTCCAACTGGAAGGCCAAGACCCACCAGTGAAATGAGTTGCTAAGCTATTCAGTAATGTAAAATGCCTTAAGCATACCACCATGCTATGGCAGCAAAGCAAAACACCACAGGCACTGCTAAACAAGAGAATGGAGTTACATCTACTCAAATGTCCCCCCTTCATTGATAGCAGCTGCAAGGAGCAGTCATCATGTGTCATAACTCCCTGACATATAACTGAGGTGGCAATAAGGTACAGAGCATCTGAAGGAACTAAGCCTAATCTTAGTCCTTGCAAAATCATATGTAAACCTTGTTGTGACCCCAGGTAAGCAGAATAAGGCTCAAGCAGCAAGGGTTTTGAAATGGGCTGTGGATTTTGTATGAGCCCAGCAGAACAATCCATGATATGAAGGCTGCTCATTCAGACCCCTGTAGAAGCTGCAAGGGATGCAGAATTGATGTTTGCTTAACAACGGTGAAAAAGCACTCTGTTTTATATTCAGAATCTTCTGTGGGAAACTGCAGGGTAAGTCACGTCACAGGAGGAGGTGCTGGCTGGAGGTGCAGGAGAGGGGAGTGAGCAATGCTAAGTCAGGGTATGTCTGCTGGTGGCACAAGCACGAAAAGTGTCAGCGTTGGACTATACCCTGCCACTTGCCTTGGTGATTTCCTAATTCACAGCTCACAGAAAGAAGTGTATCACTGTCTGTCCCCCAGGAAGGCAGCGCCAGCCCCCGTGGACACGCACGGTCCAGACAGAGCCAGTGCAGGGGCAGTACTCAGGGCTAACGGGAGGAAAGGTGGCCAAAGGCAGATCTTTCCTTTTTCTGCTTCTCCAGCAGCCAAGTGTGGCATAGAAGCAGAGAACTCAGCTGCTCTGGGCTCCCTGTTTCCTCAGAGGATAGAAGTGACCCTTCTTGCCAGACAGATCTGTGCCTCCTTGCTTCATGCTTTTGTTGTATTTATCTCCCTTATTTTGAAACTCTAATGGCAGGAATATTAACTGAATTTCAGTGAATTCTTGGATTCTCAAGCCAAATGTTCAGTATCACTGAATAATACTTCATAGATTAGCTCTTGAGCCTTGCTTCAGTGTATAAATATTAGTTAGCTAAATAGTCTTGCAGAAGAGGTTCATTAGCCTATGCTTTATGACTACTGAAAATCCTCATTTAAAATAAATGCAAATATTCCAGTTATTTCAGAAGGCAAGGAGAGATGAAAGGGAATTTACCGGAGAGTGAAGCAAGACTTCTGAAAACGCTGTTCCAGATTTTGGAAGCTGCTGCCACCAAACTGGGCTTCTTTTTCAAATGGAGAGGATTTTCTTGGTAAGAAGGAGTTTGAAAACCCTGGATTCTGTAAAATTTGGAATGACTCAGAGACAAACATTAATTTATCTTGGCAATTAATAATTTGATTCAGCAAGTGCTAGCACAGCACTGATGTTTTCAGCTGCCATTAGGGCTTTCATGGCTTTCCAAATTCTATTCCAGGAGCTTCCTGTGGCAAATGTTTCCAATATGACTAATGAACATCCACAGCACCCATGTCTCAAAAGGAAGAGGAATGAAACCAAAGAGATTTGGGCTTCAAAGCCCCCATCTATCCTTTCATGCAAAAGCTGAAACAAGCGTGTTTCTTGGCAGCTATTAGAAAGAAGAAAGGTTTCCCTACCTCGCTTTCTAATAGAGTCCACCTGGTTCCTGCCCATCATTGCTCTGGTGGTTAAATGCTACAAAAATTTCTTGGTCCAAATTAATAATAGAGTTTAGACTTTGCTCTTTTATTTCCACCCTTTTAGCAGAATCACATCTGCAGAAAGCTTTGCTGCCTATCATTCTGCTCTGTGCCTTCAGCAAGGAATCACTGGCCCACAAACTCATCATCTATAGCCAGAAATTTTTAACTCAGAATTAAAAAGCAATGGAGGAAGTGATTCTCCATTCTTGATCTCCGAATGGTCAAATACACTTATCCAAATGTGTGAACTGAATCTAAAATAATAGGACATAAAACTAGCACATATTTTGAATTAACTTTATACTGGAATAAAACACTGAAACTGCTTCATGCTGTAAGTAAAGACACAACTGATCTGGAGTTGAGAAAAGGACTGACCTAAATGGTTTGGGTTTGCTTTTAGTTGCAGGGCCAGTGTCCATTGCAGAAGTGCTAACAGAATAAAATCTGACCCACTCCCTACCTCTTGGTTGTATGTTTGCTTGTTCAGCATCCCCTTTCCAGTCTTTCCCAACTGAGCTCAAGCACAGCCATAATTACCTGGCCCCTGTTGGTCTCTGGTAGCAGGATATGCCTCTACCTGGTAACCAACAGTTTAATTTGAAGTGAAGCACATGGGTCTGTGTAAGTCAGATAATGACATGCAAGCTGAACTGCTGGGTGAAAGCTGCTTCCCACCTCCTCTGCAAGCAAAGCCTCTGTGAGAAACAGGACTGCTTGCTATGTTAATCATACTGATACACTGTGTCAACCCCAGGCAACGATACAGGCTTAAAGAAGAGTGGCTGGAAAGCTGCCCAGCAGAAAAGGTTTTTAGGTTGCTGGTGGGCAGCCAACAGTGTACCCAGAGGTGCAACAGCATCCTGGGTTGTATCAGCACTAATGTGTCCAGCAGGGGTAGGGAAGTGATTGTGCCCCTGGGCTCGGCACTGGTGAAGGCCACAGCTTGAGTACTGTATTCAGATTTGGGCACCACAGCATGAGAAGGACACTGAGGTGCTGGAGCTAGTCCAGAGAAGGGCAGCAAAACTGTTGAGGCGTCATGGCAATGTATCTTATGAGGGAACCGGGATTATTTAATCTGGAGAAAAGGAGACTGAGGGGCAACTTTATTGGTCTCTAACTAACTGAAAGGACATTACGGTGAGGTGGTTATTGGTCTCTTCTTCCAAGTGACAGAACAAGAGAAAATAGGCTTAACTTGCACTAGGGGAGATTTTGATGGAGTATGAGGAAGAATTTATTTCCTGGCAGAGTATGAGGCATCGGAACAGGCTGCCCAGGGAGGTGGTGAGGTGGTGGAGTTACCATCCCTGAAGGGGTTCAGAAAATATGTAGGTGTGGCACTTCAGGACATGATTTAGTTGTCGTGGTAGTGCTGGGTGGACAGTTGGACTTGATGATCTTACAGGTCTTTTCTAACAGTGATTTTATGATTGATTCTATGACATTGGGAAAGTGGGTTGTTAGTGAGGTTATTATGTAAAAATGCAGGTCACTGTTTCAAAAGGCAATAAAACAATATTATTAAAAAAAAAAAAAATCCTGCTCTGGCCCAGGCAGGCTTGTATCTGTAATTGAACATTTAGAGTTCTTTCACCTGTAAATAATTCTGTTTGCAGCAGTAACCCCTCCATACTGGACACAGAGATAATCTGCATCTGTTATTTCACAGGCAGTCTTCACTGAGCCTCACTGGAAGAGCCAGGCCATGACTGAAGGGATGAAGGCCACCCAGCACCATGCCACTGTGCCACACTGACCACCACCAAACTCTTGGCCCATGATAGCATTCTGGGCTCACTACTTCCTGGGTGTGCTCCCAGCCTCGCACTTGTTGGAGTGCCTGCTCCCTCAATTTGG